TGTGATTGGAAAGACCTGTAGTCATATGAGAGAAATCACACATGTTACACATGAAAATGTGCTGGAAGCCTTAAGGGAGTTTCGTGTTGACTCATACAACACAACGCCCTTCTACCTCCAGCAGACTGTATGTTTAATAGTCCAGATTCTGAAAGCTTTTTCAGTTACCTTTTTCCTCTCCCTAAAGCATGGGTGGTCCATTAAACCAGCAATTAGTCAATGAGGATCCTCCAGATCTTGAACAACAACAACAAAATTAATCAAAAGTGACCACGAGCCGAAGCATGAGCCGAAGAATGGTGAACGCCCTAGTGGCACTGAGAGTTCGGTGAACACGAGTCACACAACACGAGTAGTAAACACAGCTGTGGAAAAAAATGTAAACAACACAAGTTCATTGGCGCAGAAAGATGTAAATAGTCGTACAACACACGATGAGCGATCGAAACAACGAAGTCTGACGGATCTTTGGTCAAAGAGCACACCTGTCAGTGCAAGTCAAAGCTCGGATCCCGAGAACAGCGATAACACTGACGGATATGAATCAACCGACCACCGATCAGAAAATGCGGAGAGCGACAAAGATAAGAAACGAAAAGATCGACAAGAAAGAAAAAGGAGAAGAAAGGGCTCAAACAAAAAATAGTTCAGGTAACTATACTCATCAGAAGAAAATCGAAGAAACGAAGGTGTTAATTGTTTAAATCTCTTTTCTCTGAATGTGAGAGGGCTAAGAAATAAGCAAAAAAGAAATATGTTGTTTCAATTTCTTGTTAGACAAAAGTCAAATGTAATTTTATTACAGGAAACATTTTTGACAGAAGAAATACAAAAAAAAATTGATGAAGAATGGTGTTGTAATCCTTATAAAGAAGAACGTGTCATTTCATACCAGATTAATTCACCTATCAAATGACGGTAGAGTTATAGTGGTTGAAATAGAAGCAGGAAAATTTTGTTGATTAATGTCTATGCACCAACTGAAAAAAAGAACAAAGATGTGTTCTATGAACGTCTATCTAGATGTATAAGAAATGTTGACAAATTAGATTCCTATGCATTGATTATTGGATGCAGAACAGTTTACAAACAGCCTAAAGAATATATAAAGTTACTGAAAAAATATGGTATGATTGATATTTGGAGAAAAATGCATAGAGATATAAAACAATTTACATATCGAAATACTCATTTAAACATGGCGTCGAGAATTGACTTTTGGATAGTGCAAAGTACCTTTAAGGAATTTGTACAGCGCACATGTATAAAACCCATATCTATGTGTCCAGATCATTGTGCTATTACCATAGAGATTATGATATCTGGCGTCTCCAGAGGATCATCGTATTGGAAGTTTAACAACTCCTTGTTAAAGAATGAGGAATATAAAATTGGTGTTAGAAATGTTATCCGGAACGTGACATTTGAACATAGGACAGAGTCTGACACTAGTTCGCAGTTTGTGTGGGACATGTGTAAATTAAAGATTCGTGATTATACTATTATGTTTTCCAAAAAAATGAAATTTAACGAAAGGAAAGTCTTATTTGAGTTAGAAAAGAAATTTGAAAGATTGCACGATCAAGTATGCAACGGAAGAAAAGAACGAGAAGAAGAGTTGACTAGTGTAAAAATGGAATTAAATGCGTATTACAAATATTTATGTGATGGTGCTAGAGTTAGAGCAAGGGTAACTCTGTTTGAAGAAGGGGAAAGTAATTCCAAATATTTTTTAGGCTTAGAAACAAGAAACGGTGCAAAACGATCAATCTCTTGTTTAAGCATTGGGGGAAAGTTGGAGTACGACAAGGACAAAATCTTAAAGTTTATTGAGAAGTTTTACTCAAGACTCTATAGGTCAAATGAGTGTAATGAAGAATTAATAGATTCATACATGACAGAAGTAGAAATACCACGTCTAAATAGACACGAAGCAGATGCATGCGAAGGGCTCGTTACAATGGAAGAGATTACTGAAGCGATAACAAGTATGAAACCTAATAAAGCACCAGGGCTCGACGGTTTAAGCGTAGAATTTTATAAAGAATTTTGGTCAGAAGTAAATGATCTGGTTCTTCATAGTTTGAACGAGTCTTTTGAGAAAGGACACTTAAGTTATTCACAAAGGAAAGGCGTTATTACTTTATTGTTTAAAGGTGGAGATAAACAGGAACTTGACAATTGGAGACCAATAACTCTTTTAAATATAGACTACAAGATATTAGCGATGGTTTTGACCAAAAGGTTACAAAATGTGTTAGCAGACATTATTAATGAAGATCAAGTAGGCTATTTAAAGGGTAGAAGCGGTATTTATAATGCTAGACTAGTTCAAGACGTGGTTGACTACCACAGGGGCGTACGCAGGATTTTTTCAAGGGGGGGGTTTAAAATATTTTGCTCCCGAAAATTTGAAAATCGCGCCGGCCGAAAAGTCGCTCAGTGGGGGGGGGGGGGGGGGGGGGTAAGCGGACACTTTTTTTTTTTTTTTGGGAGGCCAAAAAAAATCGCAACGACTCAGCCGGCAGAAAATTCGCTCAGTGGGGGGGGGGGGGGGGGGGGGGGGGGGGGGGGGGGGGGTAAGCGGACACTTTTTTTTTTTTTTTGGTCTCAAAATTTCAAAATTTGACATTTTTTTACGTATGGGGGGGGGGTAAGGTCACCTTATTTAGGTTAGCCGGGGGTATAATTTTTTTTTTTTTTTTTTTTTTTAAATAAAAAAAAAAAAAAAAAAAAAAGCCAAAGGGGGGGGTTTTTAGGTTTTTTTAGGGGGGTTTACATACATGAAAATACCAAAGGGGGGGGGGGGTTTGAACCCCCAAAACACCCCCCCTGCGTACGCCCCTGGACTACCATCATTTAACGGCTAAAGATGGGGCAATTATTTTCACAGATTTTAGAAAAGCTTTCGACTCGTTGGAATGGATATACATTGACGAGTGTTTGCAGTTATATGGTTTTAGGCAATCCTTTCGGCAATGGATTGGATTGTTATATTCAAATCCAAGCTTATCAGTTACAGTAAATGGATGGTTTACTGGTAATATTAAACCATCTAGAGGCATAAGGCAAGGTTGTCCCCTGTCTGCCCTACTTTTTATCCTGAGTGTCGAAGTTTTAAGCAACAAAATAAGACAGAATGTAAATATTAAAGGTATTACTATCGGAAGACACAAAACAGAAATTAAGGTAGCTCAACTGGCTGATGATATGACAATTTTTGTACAAGACGTTGAATCTGGAAGGAAGGTAATAAATGTGATTGAAAATTTTGAAAGGGTATCAGGAATACATTTAAATACGAATAAAACTAAAGCTATATGGTGTGATACTTTTGTTAAATCTCTGGGTATATACTTCAGTAAGAATAAATCTTTGAGTGTGAATATGAATTGGAAAGTAATTATCTTAAAAAGCCTTGTTATTTCAAAATTGATTTATACAGCTCAAGTTTTATCATGCCCTATGGAATGGATAAAAGCGTATGAAAAGTTATTTTATAACTTTTTATGGGGTAATAGAGCAAAAGTGAAAAAAGAAAACATGATAAATACTCTTCAAAACGGAGGCATGAATATGGTCGACATGTGTACGCAATTTATGTCTTTACAAATAAAATGGTTGTTTAGCTTCTTAAGTTTTAAAGAAATCCAAGAAAAGAAAGGGAAGTGGATAATTTTTTTTGAGTATTGGATTGAAAAACTGGGAGGGATTGATATTATTATGAACTGTAAATGTTTACCAAAATATGTGACTTCTTATAGAGGAAAATACCTGATTTTTATTGTGACTTACTTTGTACATGGTTTACTGTAAAGCAAGTTAATTATGTAAAAGATATACACCACACCTATGGAAGTGTTACAAAAGAAATGATTTGGTTAAATTGTGATATCAAATTTAAAGGAAAACCATTGTTGTATAAAAATTGGATAAAATCGGGTATATTATTTTTAGGGGATATAGTGATAGGAAATAGATTTTTGACAGTCAAAGAATTGAAAGATAAACTTATCTATTATGATGGTAGATGGTTGAGTGAATATGCAAAAATAAGAACCGCAATACAACAAAGATGGAGGCGAATCATAAAATATGGCGAACAAGTTTATGATTTCAACGATTACAAACGTAAATTAGTTATATACTCTAATTTGAATTTAAATAGTTTTGAATTTTCAATACACTCTATTACTGTGAAAAAAGTATATACGGAACTCATAAAATTAATCCAAAAACCATCTAGGGCGGTAGACTTCTGGAACAAAACCTTACAAACAAATGTTACTATAAAGTGGGACTCTTTATGGTTATTTAAATTGAAATATGCTCGTGATAATTATTTGATACAATTCAACTTTAAATTTATGTATAATATTTTACCAACACCTGTTAATTTATTCAAATGGAAAATCAAAGAAAACAATTTGTGTTATTACTGTAATAAACCTGGTACTATTATACATGTATTTTTTGAATGCGAAAATATTTACCGATTTTGGAACGTTATCGAAATATTATTATGTAACTCCTTCTGTAAAGATTTTAAATTCTCACCCATTTGTGTTGTATATGGTTTTCATGACGCAAAAGAAAATGTTATAGATATTGATCTAATACTTCATTATGCTTTATTTGCAATCTATAAAGCGAGTGTTGGAAATCAATTTAATAAAAATGTAGTGACGAGAATAATAAGCAAATATTTTTTGTTTATGTTAGAATACAAAATAGAAGTTGAGGAAAACAGAACTAAAACAACGAATCTGAATATTATTAAGTTGAAGGAAACTATAACTAATTTAAAATCTGCTATTAAGTAAATAGAAATATAATTTGATTTGACCTCATTTAGACATGTGATTCAGTGATTTGTTATGAATATTTATGTACTATGATGTTATCCATGAATTTACCTGAATAAAGATTTATTTCAAAAAACAAAAAAAAACAAAAAATCAAAAGTGACCACTAAAAATCACAAAAAGTACACAAAATACTCAATTTGTCAATGAATATAGCTGAATATTTATTGGAGGTTCATTGGTCTATACCGGAAGACGGGGTCGACATGACATACCAGTATCTTTGACAATCAAATTTATTCACAATCATTCTTAATTGTCAAACATTAATTTATTAAAATCATCATGATTCGTTCACAACTAACATGTTTACTTAACATTGAAACATCAGACGAAAGTTGATACAGGTTTATTTATTCATAGTATTACCCTGAAATATACATACATACAGTACATTTAGATGTCTACCCTTCAGCTTTTATATTAAATTTATACCAATCAAAAACATCTACTGGTATTAATAAATGAATACAACATTACAATTCACTTTGTTTGAATACAAGAAGAAATTCACAAATGAATTTGTATTGCTGCATTAAAATCCATTTAAATATACCCATGATGCACAAGGCGAGGCTGATGAAGAGCGCCATTCATATTTAAGGAGCAGCACACAAAGGAAATATAAGAAAACAAGAGTTGGAATTAACCAGGCATGGTCGATTTTGCCTGCTTTTCTTTGAATCTTCAGCACCGATTTGAGCAAAGGTCACAAGATAACCTAGGTACCTATTCATCTCACTAATCTGTGTTCTTTACAATATTCCTCCATTTGATACATGATACCTCTCCTACTATTAAAAATGATATCAAATACAGATTTAAAAAAATAATATTAAGGATATAGGCAGCACGAATATAATGATGGATTTTACAAGAAAACCACCCAAGCAAAGATAAATAGAAGAAAACTAACTGCTGGATATAAAAAAGAGCAGAAATTCAAAATGCAATACGCATGATTTTGTATTCAAAGTTTTCTTATGTTTGTAGAGAGGCATCATTATGAATTGATAAAACTTAGTAGTTAATAAGCATTCCAAATTCAAATTAAAAAAATACAGATTTCTTAAGCCAAAGCAAAATTAATTCCACATTTTGTTATCAAAATTGTATTCACGTTTCCATAAAGCAAATGAATAAAGTGCACAAGAAATTGCCGGAAATATTGTTTTCTTTTCGGAGTCATTAATCATGTGTATTAATTCAATTGTTGTACAAAAGAAAACAAACGTCGCATATATTTTCAAACGTCCATGATTCTCAGATTATCTTGATATATATTTAGCACAAAAGTAGATGAAAGAACATTTTCGTAGAGGAATGCGACAAACGGTTCATAAAACCAACCATGTAAAACAAGACAGAACAGTAAATGGAGAAATGACCAATGATTTGGAATGTTAAAGAGCAACTTAATAATAAAATAATAACAAAATACTGATGGGGCAAGTTGTGCATGCGATTTATTCACGTCTAAACCAGTTCGTAAAATTGCTAACCGTCCATAAAATAAATCCATAGTGATTTCACTTTGCAGCCTTGTAAGAATTGTAATAATAGACTCTATGAGCCACAAATACAAGAATAGATATAATAAGCATGGTTATACAGCGACTGAATAATTGAGGTAACAAATGATACATAAGGACAAGATAAGTTGGGGGACAGGAAGAAAGGGAAAGTGTTCTATTCCTGCAAATCTTAATCAAAATCTGTTGAAATTCATCTTGATATATGAACCCATCAACATTTTAGAGAAAAAATTATGATAAAGTCAAATCCAAAATCCAACACCTTAACCATCTATTTCATTCGGTGACCATTACACAACATAAAAGCAGATAAAATTCCTAAGCCCCCTAAATAAAGAGGAAAGACATCACCAAGATACCATGTTTTTGTTTTAAACAATCTTTTCAGCATGCATGTTCAGTATTCCATGAATAACTTTTGGATTTGATTGTCTTAACAAAGTTAATTTTGACAGAAATGCCACAAAGATTACATTACCTTCTACACACATCAAACGTTAACAAACAAGGTTTAACCAATTACTGAAAACAAAATGAGGGTACTGTTCAGGTGACTTTCAATGGTTTTGTGCACAAAGTTATTATGACAAGCCCCCTTGTGACATAAAATTCAACCACAAAATATGAAACATACATGTACATTTATTTCAAACAACTAATTACAGAGGGGCAAAGACTTTGTTTTACTTTTCCATTTTCAATGTTGCAATTTGATCTCCTAATATAAATACGGTTAAAACTGGGCAAGTCCCAGCGCTTTCCGTATGTTTCTGACCTCATGTAAGACTGTAGTTTACCTGATCATTGTATGAAGTTTCTAGCCGTACTAGAGATTATATCAGACCAAATTTGAAGTGAAATGACACATCTGATGTCAATTTTTGTCCATTGGTATGGAATACTTTGGCAATGATGGGACATCTAATTGGGGGGGGGGGGGTGGACTTGTCCAACTACATAGTTGTAATACACATATTCATTACTTTTTGACATGCAAACAAACACACAAGGTTCACACTGATACATTTTCTTTGGGCTGATCCTGATCCTGAATACTGGTCAATGGTCAAGGCATCTCAAGCAGACACGGTCGCAGGTGATACAATGGTCAGTCTAGATAAGGGGGGGGGGGGGGTAGGTGATGGACATGTGATGGATATCTAGGCCATGACAAGTTCTGTGTTTCCTTCTTTGGTAATAAGCTGGACCAGAGACCCACTGTCTGGACGTTCCTCTCCCTGAGACCACTTGAATAGCAACCTGGCATAAGAAGAATAGTATGACGTGCATAAAAGGGCTTCAGCTATGCCTTTATTATCACAATAACAATTGGCTTCCAATATGCAGGGTGGTCCACAAGGGTTTTATGATGTAACAGCAGGTTAAAATTAATTCCTAGCTAAATGTATAGATGAATATTAGTGATAAAATAAGTTTGGAAATCCTTTGAAATATTTCTCAGACTGCACCAGACAGCCCTAGACCACGGCCACAAGGGACCTTGTGCAAAACTCACATAACTTCCAAGTTACTATTTTAAAAGTTTGCCCTTTTTTGTGTGGATCACCTTGAAGATGGTTGATTAATCCAAAATGGTTATCTAAAAAATTTCAAATCACCAAATTAAAATTACACAGATTTTCAAGCAGCACAGACAACACAAAGTGCTAATACAAGACCACAAAAAAGGAATTCATTGTCTGTTGGTTGTGCAGAAAATTTCCCATCTATAGAAAACATAATATGCTGCAGTCAGCCTGAAAAATTCACTAAATGGAGTAAACGATATATTTGAACTCGTAGAGAAATTCAATTTCAGAGTCATCAACGCCTTTGGTAAGTTTACACATTCATAAAAGGAATGAGTTTCATCAGGTAAGCTTGCCATTTCAATCATGTGGTTAATTTTGTTGGCTCAGTGTTTATCATGTTGACTTGTTTTAGAAGAAGAGAAGCGGTACTTACTCAGATACGTATTCCAGGGTAGTCCAGGAGGAGAAGTCGGCATTGGCCATGAACTTTCTATTCATCGGTGTGTCTAAGGTTACCCTGGAAGAAAAAGAAAAAATAATAATATTAATAATACTACTACTAATAATAAAACTAATACTACTCCTAATACTACTACTTCATATAATATTAATAATCAAGATTTATAAAGCGCTTTATATGAAATACCATCTCTAAGCACTATATAGATATTATTACCCTAGTCATTGGATTAATTTAGGCACAATGCGCCATCTCCACTCCCTGGGGAGTATTCTTACTCTATGGCATGAGAGGCTTTTGTCATCATATCAGGTCCCAGGTTCTCTCCTGGGTATGGAGTGGCAAATGTAGATTAATGCCAAAAGACATTGCTAAAGGACAAGAGAGCCATGTCAGGGATCAAACCCACTACCTCTGCATTTCAAGTCAAGTGCTTAAACCACTTGACCACAACAATCCAAAGAATTAAAAAAATAAATCTTTATCAAAGCATGATACGATATACTAAGTTGATCTGCTTATCCAAGTATTGTTCCCATAACAAAATATCTTTTCTTAAAATAAAAGTAGGGGTAAATAAATGGTTTCTCTAGTATGCCTTATATCTTACTGTTAAGATCAATTTATCCCCTAAATGTTTATTGACGTACAAGTTTTATTAAGGGAATGTACCATAGACGATTTAGAGTGCAAGTGACATTTTCACCACAAGGCATTTCTTTACTGAAAAATTCCAATTGCCTCATAAAAACCTACCGCATGACCTACAAACGTTGTAAGATCATCTTTACATATATGCTTGCTGCTTATTGGATTTAATCAAATCTGACTTTGAATACGTGTGAATGTTGCATAAGATGGGGTTAAACTTTCATTTTTTACGTTAGATTTTATTAGATTTTTCAATATAAATGCAGACCAAATTCAAGGAATTTCAAGCACCCTTAGCTCTTGATACATACATTCTCATCTTAGAGTGAATCATTTACTACTAATGTCATTTTCCAAAGACTTAAAGCCCATCTGTACTAGTTTGGCCAGGGGGATAATACCTCCCTGCAAGGTCACTGACAGGTGTTTATCTCATCAAATCAGCTCTCAATTAACATAAGAAAAAGGGCATCATGGGGACCAACATGCACCGATTAGGCATTGTTTGCTATGTAGAGGGCGCAAGTAGCTATAAGAAGTACAGTGGGGCTTTAAGATCACTTACGGTAAGATGGCAAGAGCTGTAGCGTTGGCTGGTAATCCACTGTCATCAGCACCAAGGCCTTTAGTCAGCTGGTGGACAGCAGCCTTGGCCATTCCGTACCCCATCATACCTACAATCAATCATTCCAGGAATAGCGACTATTACTCAATGATTTCTTGGTGTTCTTGGTGTTCTTGGTGTTCTATCAGTATTGATAACCAAACCCCTCCCCACCCCCACCCCCCCCCCCCCCCACCCTACAAATAAAAATGTTGCTTTTATAGTTGAACTGGATACAAAATATAACATCACTGATTAATATTATGACCAAAAGTGTACACATTTTTGCTCTTTCGATTTGCTAACTTATAAATAGCCCAACATAATCTTTAATCGTTTGCTACCATGTACATGTATGATTTTTTTTTTAAATGTTTATATTTGCATCAAACAAGGAAAAATAAGGATTTATCCATGAGAATATATCGGGTAGGAAGGGAGCAGTATGTATACTGTATCCATAGGAAATGTTCTATTGCCCCTACATGTAGATGAGCCATTAATGTGTACTTGGTAGGGGTGGGGGGGGGGGGCATTTTCTTGTTTCCCCGAGTGCATATACATTACAAGCTAGCGCCTATACCCAACTCTATATATTTGACAAAATAGAGCCAAGCAATTGGCACCAGAGAGAATAACAGAGCATTCCTCATTAAATGCCCATATTGATTTTTAAAAAATAAAAAAAATCAATATCTAAGGATTGTTTTGCAAGACATCTCACCTGCAGTTCCACCAAGGGCAGGTGATGCACCAGTCAGCTGGAGTAGGCCACCGTCCTTCAAGTGCCTGGCAGCAATTCCAGCCGAGATGACCGATGTCCAGCAACTCTGTTTAATCATCATGTCAGCATTCTTCACCAGGTCTAAAGGGCAATTAAAAAATTTACATTTTGATGAGACAGGTCACTTATCCCCTCCCCCTTCTCTCCCTCTCTCTCTATTAAGTGAAAGAAATGTTATCTAGTAACATAAATTGTTTTAAACATCATTACACCAAAATTATTCTTTTTAATCCACTAACGAGTCTAAGTAATTATTGAGTTTTTGTCTGCAATGACCTTTAAAAATGTTTCCAATGTTCTGTTCTTGGCATCTATTCAAAATCTTTAGGCTGTGAAATGTAAAAAAAAGGTGATTAGCTTTTTGTCAAAATTCCATATTTGTTGTGCCCAAAACTTTCTTTAAATTTAAAGATACTCAAAACTACACATATAATAATTGATCCTGTCACTTTTTTCAGTTGCGATAGGCATACCAGAAGTTGATTGTAAGAAGGAAATTAATCTTAGAAAAGAAAAGAAAAGAAAGCTGAATTGAAACTATCAAACAGTATTCTCCTAAGTCCTCACTGTGTTATCATCTCATGAAGATAGCATTGTGGGAAATTCTATAATTCTACAAGATTTCATTTTTTATCAACTTCTCACTAAAATATGGGATATCTCACCATCTTAAAGTACTCAAGATAACCAAGTTTTAAACAAAGTGTATTCTACTGTAAAATATCTGTCTATTTTCTTCCAAACCTGATATTACTGCCCTCTACATGTAGTACATTAATATTTTTGGACTGGAGAAAGAAGCATAATAAATAAGCCAAATGAAGTTTGTTTCTAATTCCAAATACTTTTAAAAATCAATCGCTATGTCGTCATCTAAGGGAGATAGCAAATAGAGAATTGGTCTTCTTTACAAATATTTAAGAACTCTCTTATTAATGCAACTTTAGTCAAGATTGATGAAATCCAAAAAAAGAACAGTTATAATACCTGGTTTTCTGGATAATAAAATCACATTTCATACTTGCATAGCACATATTACATGATATAACAACCTTTTGTGCTTCAAAAGAGCTTTGAAAATTGCTTTCAAGATTGCTTCTGTGTTGACTAGATTGACCTAAAGTTAAACTAGAGCTCTAATGCACTTCACTACAAGCCTATATCACTGTTAAAGGTAAGCTGTAACTTTGGATGTGATGACACTATTCTCTCTTTTGAATACGGTATGCACAAAAATACCATGTAAGATGGCTGTATCTTCCTCAAAATGTAAATATTTTGAGGGAAAGGGAAAGTTTCACAGTGAAATGACTTTCAATCTTTAAAGTTATTATACTAAAACTAGGGGACATATGAAAGAGTATAAAGTAATTTTTCCTGTTCATTGTATATATTAATTGTGTTTATGTATGATTAAGTTCATTTAAGTAAAAAAAAATAATCAACTGCTAAAATGATGATAAACACAACACATATTTTTTTTAACAATCATTTCTATATTAGAAAAATCAACATAACTGTTCGACTTAGTGTGTAATGAATTGGAAACATTTAGATATTGGATATTACTTGTGTTTACGTATGATTAAATGATTATAGTCTGTTAAGTTAAAAATAATCAACTGCTATAACAATGATAAACACAACACATATTTAAAAAAAAAATCATTTCTATATTGGAGAAATCTACATAACTGGTCGACTTAGTGCATACTGAATTACAAACCTTTTGACTTGGCATTGCCTCCAGCCCATCCTCCGGCTACACAGAGGATTGCGTCCAGCTTTTCACCAGAGAGGGCCTCCTCTACCTTGGAGTAGACTTCTTCGGACTGCAGGGTCCAGGCATTGAGCTCACTGATGATAACATTTGCATCTGCTTGCTCGTTAGGGGACAAATCAGCTGATAAAACCCACTAGGAAAAGAGGAAAATTAATTTAAAATAGGTACATCAAATGAGAATGTAGATTATTTTCTATTTAAACAAGAGTCTTAACTCTACAGTTTCATAAAGTAAATATCAATTCTTTATCTTTCCTGAGCTGGTGCAATTTCGCATTGGGGCGCCTCAAATCATAAAATGTGATTCCTTTAAAGTTTAAAGGGAGTCCCTCGTCAGTTTCCATGTGCAGAAGGCCATAATTTGCTGACACCAGACTTGGTGGGAAAACCATTAATGGGAGTACAAATCTGCACACAGCAAACCTGTTGGCCAGTCAAGAATTACCCCTTATCTCTCGGAGAGTCTAGCTTCGGATCCCGCTTCGGATCGGGAGAGGGGAAAGCAAAGCATTACATAAGGTCGAATGGTCATAAAACTCAAGGCTATCCCTGGTGATTGACAACACCCGTTATTGGGTAAACACCTGAACGGTGTTGATTTCCCCATGAGAGCTAACTACTGAGTGTCTTTAAATAAAATTGAACATTGTCATCGGCATCACCAAAAAAATGACCTATAATCTTGATTTTGGAGAAAATATGTATCAGGCTTAGCAGAGATGCATTAAAACACACCAGTTAAAACTAGTGGTCAAAATGTATTTCCTTGGATGGATAAATTAGGCACCCGGTTAAAGTACACACTAGAGTCTCTAGACTAGAGTCTAGAGAGCAGGCTATTGCCGGGAAAATAAAGAATCGTTTATTATAAGATCTGGATGCCAAATAAATACAAATACAAGTTGGCCGTTATAATTGCAAGAGAAAACAAGAGGAACTTCATTTTTATTGTACTCTCCAAAACAAACAAAACGGTGAGGCCCCATTGCTCACTTGCACGCTTGTGATAAAACAGAACTAGATCTATGAAGTTGTAAACCATCATGATCATCAATAAGACTCCTAATAAATTGTGATACTGGTGTCAGTATTGTGATAGGCCTAGTGCCTTAGGCTTAGTTAGTGGTGAATTAATTATATTAAGATCTAGACTACAATTTGTTATTTTAATTTCAGTTTCCTTTATTGATAACTGAATTTTCTTATTATTAAACTGAAGATATGGCGTAGATCTATGTATTCAGTACTGAATGAACGCCACAAACAACTATCAACAACAACAGTCTCTTCAGAGAGGACACCTTTAGGCTTAAAACCCCAACAAAAACAAATACAACAACAGCAACAACAACAACAACGCTCACTTGCGCCGAGTCGATGCCGACACTGCACTGCCCCAACAAAAGTCACAACAGGTGGGACTGTACTAAACTGTGTACAGAAGAGCCTCATGTTACAGATCCAAATTTGTACTTTAATTTTCAAAAAATGTTTCCCGAAGATCAGAAACGCTGGAAAAATAAGTTCTTAACAATTTACCCAGTTCTTTGACTTGTAAAAGTTCACCAATTGGGAACCAAGGGCCCCTTTTCCACCATAAACGAAGACACGGGAGTTAGCTGCCATTTTGATGAAGTGAATGGTGAAGAGTATAGTAACATTTTCTAGTTTTTGGCATGTTTTGATATTTTTATATTTTGAAATAATTATAATTCTAAATTGATAATTTCTATAGATATTTAAAGTAAATTTTTAATGTTTTTATAAGGTAATTTATATTTTTTATTGGAAAACCTCTGTTCGAGGTTGTGACATCACTGCTCATGGGGCTGAGCACTTTAGATTTTGATGAATATGTGTGAATAATTGGACATAAAAACACCATTTATTTTTCATGTGGAGCCTGTATTTAACATTTGCATGTAATTTGTAGATCACAAGACTCCCCTTAAGCTGTGAATGGATTTTGAGTCAAACTTGGGGCTGAGTTTTTGCCTAGGATGTCCCGACATGAAGGTAAGCAGATTGCAGAAACCGGAACATGTCAGCATTATTACATAGGCTTTACGTATAGAAAAGTCCTGCACTAATTCAAATGAATGTGATCTCGTGAAACTGCGGCCGCCGGCTGCCTGGCTACTGAGACTGAGTTAATCAATGTAAATGTGAATCTGAATGAATGATAACTCACTGATACAGATAATTGTAATGCTGTTGATGACTAATTTCCAATTATGCAAATAAATTGTTTTGCGTAGATTGCCTGGGCAATTCAGGAAGGGACACCATCACGACTGTCAAAAAAAAGAAAACACATTTCTGATTTCAATGAAGGTGGCGAATGGGATGTTGTAGGATAAGGAGGCGAGTTGGCTCAGTCGGTAAAGCTTCTGCCTGTCGAACCAAAGATCCCGGGTTCAACTTTCATCCAGGCGGATAACTGAAGTCTGCGTTGTGTGTTAACGTGCCCCTTCCCTTGTTCATAGACGCAGGTTATGTCAAGTGGAAAACACTCCGTCCCTCGGATAGGACGTTAAATGGAGGCCCCGTGTACAGGAGAGTCACCACCCTTGCACGTTAAGAACCCATTGCACTATTCGTATAAGAGAAGGGGGAAACCCTGGTGTAATGGTCCACCTGCACACCCCAATCAGGCCGAGTATATGGCATCTGCAAGAATCTTCAGTATTGAAGGAGGCAGATTATCTTGAAGAAGAAGAAGAATACAAACAACTCCAGATTTTCTTAAATTATACCCCATTTTAATGTTCTCCCAGAAGGTTATTAACTAACATCTTATAATGCTAAGCGAAAGGCAGCCAGCGATGGCCGATCAGAAGGGCCCTGGCCTTGGCCTTGCAGGCTTGCATGAAGGGCCAAAAAGCAGCCGTGTTTGAAAACGAGGCAGAGAACGGGTGAACTTAAAAGCGTATGCGCAGGATGGGAGCTAAAGTTCTACGTGGGGTTAACTCCAGATCCTACACCAGTAGGGGCGCTGGTCCGAGAATGAGGATCGTTTGCATAAACAAGGATATCCTTGTAAACGTGGACGAAATTGCGTCCTAACAATAAGGATCGTCCGCACTTCCGGGACTTTTTGTTTCAATGGCGCTCTGCAGGTTTCGCGTAAGAAAATAACCCTGGTTCACCGTCTACTTTTATGGGTTGTCCGTCTTCCTGGAGATTAATCGCTCATAACATGATCATGAAAGTCTCTGTACAAAATCAATGTAAAATGCATCAGGAAAATCATTGCGGAATCAGTTTTTTGCATCACCAACGCGCAGATTGGAAATATGAAACGTCTGCGAAATGCGGACAAGCCTTATTTTTGTTGACGCGTCTGTCTGCGTTTACGAAGACACTCCTCGTTTATGTGGACGATCCTTATTCTCTGACCAGCTCCCCTACTGTACACCGGGACACAATTCAAACAGTGGTATTGGTCCTAGATCTAGATCTATTTTTTAGAAATCTAAAAAAGTACATGTAGTAATTGATATTTAGACTTACAATGTTTTTTGACTCCTCTGGGCTTCCGGTCAACCACTTGAAATTATAATTTGAAGATGTCTTTGATGGGATAAAGGGTGGTTCCTTGTCCTAAACCAATTTATTTATGTTGTATTTCATTGATTCAACCATGTAGTATATTGTCGATTGATTCATGTTGTGTATCGTCGATTCAACATCGAAGAGAAAGTATGTGTTTGTGCAGCGCCGCTATCGCATACTTGCTCTTCGCTATGTTGAATCAACAATATACACCACGTTCGTTTTGAATGGCTCGTACGTACACACTCACTTTCAATTCAAATCCAGCTCTATAAAAGAAATTTACAACTGTAAGAAACCATAAAAATTATAAAATCGTATTAATTGAATTAGAAGTTTTGTGACTACTTGTGTTTATATGTTCAGTGGTATTTGTGAAAAAATAGTGACATATCAATCGAAATTTGGCCAAATGACAAGTAGAGCACACAGGTGAAGAGCGCCACTGTGGTGTGGCATACAATTTTTAGCTACAGCACATAACAAAGTCCCACCATGGGATCAGTCTATGAAGAAGAGGGATTCAGTGAAGTCGGACGTACATGATTGTAGTTTCAGCCGAACCTGTCCCTGAATGAAATAGAGTGATGTTTTGGTCGACTTTCCAATTTCCATCATCTTCTCTGCCGACGGCAACTGTGCAGGACCTCTGGGTATCAAAACTCCTTCTTCCCCAGTGCCATCAGCTCATGGAACCAGCTCCCTACCACTGTGACAGCAGCTTCTTCTATGGAACAGTACAAGAGGCAGCTGGTTGGGGTGACTCTGCGTCAAAACTAGCTGGAGAAGGAGTTATTATGACTTGCACAGTGAACACTTTTTTAGTTTTTACTACTCAATTCTAAAACCGTTTGGGACCTCTTTTTTGGAGGCTCACACAATGCAGCATGGCACACTTGTTCACAGCACTACATGTACACAACAGTACAAAAATACTCCCCCAGAGAACTGTACTTGTAATGTAAATGTACTGTACATGATTGTAGGGGGTTGACAATTGGCTTTGTGGACAATTTGATCAACTGTTCTCTTAGATATTCAATAACATGTAATCATACATTATATGGGACAAAACTTATGTTTTCGTTTTTATCGAGTTATGCTGTCGATATATTATAGGAATTCTCTAGTTTATACTTCAAAACCATTGTAACAGTTACATGTACATGTAAATAATTCATCTTTTTTGCCCTTTCTTAGTTTTGAAATTTTACTTGTAAATAAAATGTGACACTGATGCATGTGTAAGATCAACAAGTTGATGATTTGGGGTACAAAATTGTGATTGTGATGGTGGAAGGAATCATGATTTCAGTAGTGCTCATGTCATTTGCTCCCATTTGTAGACAGACTCCTCAGAGAACAATAAACATTACCTTTTATTTATTTTTTTTCAAACGTACTGGTATTCAAATAAAATAGATGCCTAGACAGTATTTTCTCCTCCTCTTCCTCCTTTTTCTCCTTCATCTCTTTCTTCTCCTTCTTCTCCTTCTTTTCCTTCTTTTCCTTCTTCTCCTTCTTCTTCTCCTCTTCCACTTCCTCTTCCTCATCTCTTTCCTCTTCTTCCTCTTCCTCTTCCTTTTTTCTTCCTCGTCCTCGTCCTCTTCCTCTTCTTCTTCTGCTTCCTCCTCCTCTTCTTCTTCTTCTCCCCCCCCCCCCATTTCCATTCTGCTTAGTTGTAAGCTGTGACTGCTGTCTGTAATGAAAATAAGTTGTATGGTGCCTAGACTCTTTGTAATAATTAGACTGTAGACATCACTTCTTTTTTCCCCTTCTGCTCAAGCTGTGAGATTTTACTGAGCACTGTCATAAAAGAAATACATTTTCAGTCTTTGTTTTGCAGTTAGAGTGACCCAAGAAAAATATGCTCTTCATATAACTGGAAAGTTGGACCAAACCTTCAAGCCACATAATAATAATAATAATAATAGTAGCTACTTGTATACATGTAGCGCACAGGTCCACCTTTCGGTGCTCATGGCGCTTAGAGAAAAATACATGTAACAAACTTAAGAAACAAAAAACAAAAACAGAATTCTCCTAGACATAGTAAATTAGAATATTGCAATAATTACAATGGAAAAAGCAAATAAGTGTTCAGTTGTGATTTGAATGTTTCAGTTGATGACAGTTGACGTATTTGTAGAAGGAGTTCATTCCAGAGTTTCATACCCATGGCTGAGAAATCCTGATTGCCCCGAGCATATTCTACATGTAGGTGTGTGTGTTTATTGTCCCACATACCCATTTCTGTGTGCAGCGCAAGTGATTTTCATCATGCTTCAATCATTTTTTCATGCCAAGCCTCGCAGTATGCATCAAATGTAATGTAATGTTATATAATGCATCACATACATGTACATGTACATGTAATTGCTTCCAGACAGTTTTTAAAAGAAAAAAAATTCACAGTGTGATAACTTAACCGATTTTGAACTTTATCTCTAAAAAAGTAATCAATAAGGACCCACTAATTTCTCCCCATTTATTCAGGTGTAAGCTGTGACTGCTGTCTAAAAAGTAATTTCCGAGGCAGACGGTACAAGTGTCTCATCTGTTACGACTATGACCTTTGTTCGACCTGCTATGAAAACGGAGCAACCACTACAAGACACACAGCAGAGCATCCAATGCAGTGCATACTTACTAGGTCAGATTTTGGTAAGCAATAACACTTCATCTTTTAATCCTTTCAGGACGGGATGTATTTTTAGCGCTAAATTGATCACATACATGTACATGTATTGTTCTTCAAATAGGCTTTTTTTTATTTTCATAGCTACTGTACAATGTACATGTACATTGTTAAAGTGACTTGGTAACATTGTTGAAGGTTGATGAAAAAAGTGCTTAATTTTTGTATAAAATGTTACTTACTATATTCCTTGTACTGTACTAACCCTCTGACGTGCAAACAATCCTGAAAAAATTCTCAAACCATGAAGATATCTAAGGTTTTCTTTGAATGCGTCGATGAACGACACCCTCTAACAGTGATTAACAGTAAATTTTCCCAACCGTTTTCCATGAAAAAAAGACATAAAACAGGCTATAAAAAATCTGTCAAACTCTTAAATGTCTGGAAT